ATTGGATGAACCATAGATGTGTGGCTCCTCTTGCATGATAGTATGATACTGCAATAGATGAACAACTTCCCAACAGGAAGGAGCGGGGACACTCCGGGAACTGAATTTACCTGAGGGCCACTAACACTAGTGGCCTCGATGAGGGCAGTAAGCCGGCGGCTTGTCAAAGCCGCCGCCCCATTTGTCCTGATGATCTTTTCCAGCTGTATTTTAAAACCAAGCAGAGGTTTGGCGTTTACTGCTTCGGCGGGTAAGCGGTTCCACTGGTTTACAACCCTGTGGGTGAAAAAGCATCTCCTATTTCCTGTCCAACATTCTGGCTTGTTGAGTGTGAACCAGTTGTTCCTTGTTCGTGTAACATCTGACCTTTTGAAGACATTGTCCTGATCGACATCCTCCAAGTTGTTTAGTATTTTAAAGGTTTCTATGAAGTCCGCCCTGTTTGTGGTGTTGTTAGCCCTGTGGCCCTCAACCGTTCCTGATACAACAGATGACTAAGCTCTGGTACGATTTTTGTCGTAAGACATAGCTCCATAGCTCTGGTAAGACATAGCTCCATAGCTCTGGTAAGACATAGCTCCATAGCTCTGGTAAGACATAGCTCCATAGCTCGGGTAAGACATGACTCCAGAGCAGCTGTGTCTTTCTGAAGATGAGGTCTCCATGCCTGGATGCAATAATTCATGTGGGCGCGCACCAGCTACAGTCTAAGTAGACTTAGGCGTGAGGTTACACAACTGGTCGGGGTCCGGTTACACAACTGGTCGAGCTTCGGTTACACAACTGGTCGAGCTTCGGTTACACAACTGGTCGGGCTCCGGTTACACAACTTGTCGGGTTCTGATTACATTACTTCAGGGGTGTGACTTGTTGGGCTTTGGGTTGTGCATGGTTGTGATCCAGTGGTTGTTTGTGTACTAGTGCTCCAGGTTTGTTTGCGAGGGCTCTATGTTTATATGTTTGCTAGAAATTCTGGTTTCTTTTTTTTTGTATATAGTTCAATTGTTTGATATGGCTCCATAGATGATTTCTAGGGCAAGTGGAGAGTTTTAGGTAGCACTAAGAAGATTTTTGTTTGGTTGAGCTAGGAATGGAGTTTGGTTGTGCTCTGGGACTGTTTAGCTCTGTGGGGTTGGGTGAGATGTATACTTGCTAGGCTTATGGTTGCACAACTGGTCGGGGTCTGGTTACACAACATATCAAGCTTCGGTTACACAACTGGTCGGGCTCCGGTTAAATAACTGGTCGGGCTCCGGTTAAATAACTGGTCGGGCTCCGGTTAAATAACTGGTCGGGCTCCGGTTAAATAACTGGTCGGGCTCCGGTTAAATAACTGGTCGGGCTCCGGTTAAATAACTGGTCGGGCTCCGGTTAAATAACTGGTCGGGCTCCGGTTAAATAACTGGTCGGGCTCCGGGGGTGTCACTTGAGTTTTGGGTTGTGCATGGTCAGGCTTCGGTTCGTGCATGGTTGTGCTTCAGTGGTTGTTTGTGTACTAGTGCTCCAAGGTTGTTTGCTAAGGTTCTGTTTATATGTTTGCTAGAAATTCTGGTTTCTTTTTTTTTTTGTATATAGTTCAATTGTTTGATATGGCTCCATAGATGATTTCTAGGGCAAGTGGAGGGTTTTAGGTAGGGCTAAGGGGATTTTTGTTTGGTCGAGCTAGGAATGGAGTTTGGTTGTGCTCTGGGACTGTTTAGCTCTGTGGGGTTGGATGAGATGTATACTTGCTAGACTTACGGTTACACAACTGGTCAGGGTCCGGTTACACAACTGGTCGAGCTTCGGTTACACAACTGGTCGGGATCCGGTTACATAACTGGTCGGGCTCCGGGGGTGTCACTTGAGCTTCGGGTTGTGCATAGTCGGGCTTTGGTTCATGCATGGTTGTGATCCAGAGGTTGTTTGGTTCGTTCATGCTAGGCTTGCGGTTACACAACTGGTCGGGGTCCGGTTACACAACTGGTGGAGCTTTCGTTACACAACTGGTCAGGCTCCGGTTAAATAACTGGTCGGGCTCCGGTTAAATAACTGGTCGGGCTCCGAGGGTGTCACTTGGGCTGTGGGTTGTGCATGGTCAGGCTTCGGTTCGTGCATGGTTGTGCTTCAGCGGTTGTTTGTGTAGTAGTGCTCCAGGTTTGTTTGCTAAGGCTCTGTGTTTATATGTTTGCTAGAAATCCGGGTTTCTTTTTTGTTTATAGTTCAATTGTTTGGTCGAGCTAGGAATGGAGTTTGGTTGTGCTCTGGGACTGTTTAGCTTTGTGGGGGTTGGATGAGATGTATACTTGCTAGGCTTAAGGTTAGGCAACTAGTCGGGGTACGGGTACACAACTGGTCGAGCTTTGGTTATACAAACGGTCGGGGTTACACAACTGTTCGGGGTCCGGTTACACAACTGGTGGGGCTCCGGTTACACAACTGGTCGGGCTCCGGTTAAATAGCTGGTCGGGCTCCGGTTAAATAACTGGTCGGGCTCCGGTTAAATAACTGGTCGGGCTCCGGGGGTGTCATTTGGGCCTTGGGTTGTGCATAGTCGGGCTTCCGTTCGTGCATGGTTGTAATCCAGAGGTTGTTTGTTTGATTTGTTCATGCTAGGCTTGCGGTTAGACAACTGGTTGGGCTCCTGTTTCACAACTTGTCGGGTTCAGATTACATAACACCATGGGTGTGACTTGTTGGGCTTTGGGTTATGCATGGTTGTGCTCCGGTTCGTACATGGTTGTGCTCCGGTTCGTACATGGTTGTGCTCCAGTGGTTGTTTGGGTACTAGTGCTCCAGGTTTGTTTGCGAGGGCTCTATGTTTATATGTTTGCTAGAAATTCTGGTTTCTTTTTTTTTGTATATAGTTCAATTGTTTGATATAGTTCCATAGTTGGTTTCTAGGGCAAGTGGAGGGTTTTAGGTAGCACTAAGAAGATTTTTGTTTGGTCGAGCTAGGAATGGAGTTTGGTTGTGCTTTAATGGGACTGTTTAGCATGGTGGGGGTTGGATGAGATGTATACTTGCTAGGCTTGCGGTTACACAATTGGTCGGGGTCTGGTTACACAACTGGTCGAGCTTCGGTTACACAACTAGTCGGGCTCCGGTTACAAAATTGGTCGGGCTTCAGGGGTATCACTTGGGCTTCGGGTTGTACATAGGTGTGCTTCGGTTCGTGTAAGTTTGTGCTTCGGATGTTGTTCGATTCATTCATGCTAGGCTTGCGGTTACACAACTGGTCGGGGTCCAGGTACACAACTGGTCGGGGTCTGGTTTCACAACTGATCGTGGTTTTAGTTACACAACTGGTTGGGGTCTGGTTACACAACTGATCATGGTCCGGTTACACAACTGGTCAGCGTCTGGTTACACACCTGGTCGGGGTCTGGTTACACAACTGGTCGGGCTCCGGTTACACAACTGGTCGGGCTCGGGTTACACAACTGGTCGGGCTCCGGGGGTTTCACTTGGGCTTCAGGTTGTGCATTACCCCTTTTTGTGTAATGAAATTTTAAAATAAAGTTTGATATATATACACACATACTAAAAGAATAGGGGTGGTAGGAGAAGAAAATATAAAAGTGTTCAGTGAGGATCCGCAAGGTCTTCTCTGGGTACTCTTTATGTTCTTCTCCGAGGCTATGGGACCCTACCCTTGCCCCAGATATATATATATATATATATATATATATATATATATATATATATATATATATATATATATATATGTCGTACCTAGTAGCCAGAACGCACTTCTCAGCCTACTATGCAAGGCCTAATTTGCCTAATAAGCCTAGTTTTCATGAATTATTTGTTTTTCGACTACCTAACCTACCTAACCTAACCTAACCTAACTTTTCTGGCTACCTAACCTAACCTAACCTATAAAGATAGATTAGGTTAGGTTAGGTAGGGTTGGTTAGGTTCGGTCATATATCTATGTTAATTTCAACTCCAATAAAAAAAATTGACTTCATACATAATGAAATGCGTAGCTTTATCATTCCATAAGAAAAAAATTAGAGAAAATATATTAATTCAGGAAAACTTGGCTTATTAGGCAAATCGGGCCTTGCATATAAGGCTGAGAAGTGCGTTCTGGCTACTAGGTACGACATATATATATATATATATATATATATATATATATATATATATATATATATATATATATATATATATATGTCGTACCTAGTAGCCAGAACGCACTTCTCAGCCTACTATTCAAGGCCCGATTTGCCTAATAAGCCAAGTTTTCATGAATTAATTGTTTTTCGACTACCTAACCTACCTAACCTAACCTAACCTAACTTTTTCGGCTACCTAACTTAACCTAACATATTAAGATAGGTTAGGTTAGGTTAGGTAGGGTTGGTTAGGTTCGGTCATATATCTACGTTAATTTTAACTCCAATAAAAAAAATTAACCTCATACATAATGAATTGGGTAGCTTTATCATTTCATAAGAAAAAAATAGAGAAAATATATTAATTCATGAAAACTTGGCTTATTAGGCAAATCGGGCCTTGCATAGTAGGCTGAGAAGTGAGTTCTGGCTACTAGGTACGACATATATATATATATATATATATATATATATATATATATATATATATATATATATATATATATATATATATATATATATATATATATATATATATATATATATATATATATATATATATATATATATATATATATATATATATATGTGTGTGTGTGTGTGTGTGTGTGTGTGTGTGTGTGTGTGTGTGTGTGTGTGTGTGTGTGTGTGTGTGTGTGTGTGTGTGTGTATGCAGAAATAATATTAATAAAACAATTAACATCGTGCAGTGTACTCTATATATCAAAATATATTACTTTGAAACCCGTATCAGTTACTAAATAAAAAATTGGGCTACTCTTATTACAATTTCGCTACTTTAGCCCGTCAGCTCGCTACTTTTAGCCCGTCAGCTCGCTACTTTTAGCCCGTCAGCTCGCTACTTTCAGCAATTTAAATATGGCAACCCTGGGAAAGGCAGGGGAGCTTCAGTGTTGCGTCAGCAGTTGAAGGGAGTAGAGTGACGGTGGTAGTAGTGTTTATAATGTCAGATTTGGCGTCCCCGAAGTCGCCAGGGTCTGGAGAGTTTCCCCATGATTTTGACTATGATGACGACAACGATGCAGATTTCGAGGACTCCAGAGACTATGATGAAAGAGAGAGCGATGACGGTAAGAATAGATATTAATAGTGCTGGAGTTGCCTAAATGTGTGGTATGTGTATTTTATATTTAATAATTCAATTACTGTTTAGTTATTTTACAATATAATCCTTTGCTAGTGCGTGTGTGGACACGGAAAAGGTCCATAGAACAGTGCACTATTTAGGCTACACTAACCCAAAGTAACTACTGTATGCTAATAACATTAACTCACTGTGTCGGGGGGACAGGAAGCCAGAGTGTATTCATACACGTTTTGACTTTATACGAGGTTCCTTCCCTTGCCCCCCCCCCCCCGCAAGGTGGAATTACTGACCCCACCCAGGATACAACCCCACAACAACCTGACTAACTCCCGAGTACCCACTCACTGCTAGGTGAACAGAGGCATTAGGTGAAAGGAAATGTGCCCAACCATTTCTGTCCCGCCCGCGATTCGAACCCGGAATTCTTCATTGCGAGTCGAGAATGAACCCGACAGTACTATCGGGACCCTATGATAACATGATCTCATTTATATCAATGATATTAACTGATATAAGATAACATATGTTATACATAATAACATGATCATGTATCAACTGAGGCAGTTAACTAAGTACTATAGCAAGAGTCTTGTGCGAGCAGCAGTAGTTTGTTATTGATGTCGCAACTTATGAGGGTAGAAATAGCCTAAGCTACTCTCATTTTGAGATGTATATCATCATCTCGATAAACTTGCTTCCTATAATGACCTAGTAAATCTACCTTCCTGCTTTTTTTTTTAATCTTAAGTATACAGTATTGAATTGATACATAGTATATGAATTATATCGCATATAAGTTCATTTTATAAATGTTGGCAATTTATCGAAACGTATACTACACTTTAAACGTAAGAACGTTGCTTTTCAGTAATTCAATAGTTCACCATTATTACAGATACTGACTTAGGAAGTGAGGGAGAAACAAGAGGAAAAGAAGAGTATGCTGGTATTAAGGAACAGTGAGTACTGTATTTGCCTGCAGAGCATGAATATAAATTCTTAAGCACCATGAAAACATTTTCACTTATTGAAAGTTACAATTTCAGCATTTTTTTCACACTATAATAATATTTCACAAGTTTTCACTACTTATAGTTTGACTGATTGAAAAATGATAGTTCTAAACAGTGTCAAGACAGTATGCTACTATATGCATAAAAAAGGATATAGTACAGTAATATTAAATCCAATATACAGTACAGGGTATCATAAATATAATCAAATATAAATATACTCCCCATGGCTTTTCCAGAAGTTGTTCTGCTTGTTTGCTTATGGTTTTCATACTCTTAGGTTTTTGACCAATTATATTTAGTTTTCAATCGTGTGTTAATACTTGGTTTTTATGCTTGAAATTTAAGTGTCTGTAAATTTAAATCCAGTATTTTTTTTTTATGTAATGAAATGCCAATTTCTGGGTTTCCAGAGGTTCCCTAAAGCTAATTGAGGTTATCATGAGATGATTTCGGGGCTTGGTGTCCCCACAGGCCGGTCCTCAACCAGGCCTCCACCCCCAGGAAGCAGCCCGTAGCAGTGGTCTAGGTACCTATTACCTAGGTATTACCTAGGTACCTGCTAGGTAACAGGGGGCATCAGGGTGAAAGAAACATTTTGCCCATTTGTCTCCGTCTCTACTGGGGATCGAACCCGGAACCTCAGGACTATGAATCTGAAGTGCTGTCCACCCAGCTGTCAGGCGCCCTGGGGAATGGGAGAGCTGATCGGCCGAGCGGACAGCACGCTGGAGTTGTGATCCTGTGGTCCCGGGTTCGATCCCGGGCGCCGGCGAGAAACAATGGGCAGAGTTTGTCACCCTATGCCCCTGTTATCTAGCAGTAAAATTGGTACCTGGGTGTTAGTCAGCTGTCACGGGCTGCTTCCTGGGGGTGGAGGCCTGGTCGAGGACCGGGCCGCGAGGACACTAAAGCCCTGAAATCATCTCAAGATAACCTCAAGATAGCCCTATCTCTTCTATCTCTGATAATAGAGCAGAGAGGACGCACAAATTTGGTACATGTTTTGATGTGAACAGAACTTATCATCAATAGATATATACTATTGTGATCCTCTCAGCCAGCCACTCTGTTCTTTACTATTGCTGCTGAGTTATGTTTGTGGCCTTATTTTTCCCATTTCATTTCTGACTAGGTCACTGTAAGGCCAGCTGGTAATGGTAAATGGGCTACTATCATTATCACATTACTTGCATCGATAACTAGTTCATCTCGTGTAGTGGGATACACTACGCTACGGGCTACACACAAAGGAGTGTGTAGGTCCATGTGGGTGAAGGAAACTCAAGTTTATTTCAAAGCTTTCTGGCTTGACCTTAAAGAAATCGGTTTATAAAATGGCTAGGTATGGTTTCTGGGTATTTTATAAGCACAAGCATCAGTGACCTCACAGCACAACTTCTCCACTTCACTGCAGCCAAAGTTTTTTTTTTTATATATATATAACTTTAGCTTGACACAGTGCATTCGTGTAACCTGCACTGTTAGGGGTAAAAAATTTGGTAATATGCTGGTATTTGTAGTTCGTTATATTTATGGAAAAGGTTGATTTGGATGTATTTCTCATTTTTTCTACGTACTATAGTATTAATATCTAATTTTATATTCCAGAATGTATCAAGATAAGCTTGCCCAACTTAAGAAACAACTACAACAACTGCGTGACAGCAGTCATCCAGAGTACAACAAAAAGCTTAAAAAAATTGATGCAGCTTATAAAGAAAGGTACAATTGTTTTTATTACTGATAAAGCTATATAACTGTTAGAATGATAGATAAATATGGTGTCATAAGAATTAAATGTGACCGATGAAAGAAACTGCTATTAACTTTTTTGGTATGTGTTAACAAATAGATAAGCTTAGTTTGCAATTGCTAGCAATTGATGAATCTTCATTTAGACTTCAACTAATAAAGAAATATCTTGCACATTTATGGTACCTTGTATTTTGATTTTGAAGGCTAAATATATTAGTTTTATTTTGTTATTGAATTTTGATGGCACTTTCTTAAGATTCATAAGGGTCATTCCATCCCAAATCACAAAGTAGATTTTTCAACCTGACCCTCTGGATTTCAACAAATTTGGTAGGATGGTAGAGGATATGGAGTAGCTCACATATATAACAATTTAGTGTTCAGTGATACACAGTATTCATGCAGTAGGGTTGCCAGTGTGAAAAAATACTAAATGGTTGCTTATAAGATCATCAAAAATAATTTAATTGTTTTGAATTAAGGTAAAACCTTTATAGTGTGCCAGTTTTGAAACTAAGAAGTCACTATTTTCATTAAAAAAAAGTTTTGATTGTTTGTTTCCCCCAATGGTTTCCGTAAGCTATCTCATTGAGATTGTTACATATTAGTCACATCAGTTGTGGATGTTCTGTTTGGCCTACTGGGGGCCAGAGCCAGAATCTGGCACCCCCTCACAGAGGCACAGGGAGCCGGTGACAATCCACAAATCCGCCAGATAATCCGTTTATTAAAATTGAATTTGCCGAATTCTCCGCATGGAATTTATATTGGCTGCACAGGTTTATTGCCCATGCTTGTCTGAACTTCGATTAGGTTGTGATCTGAGTTACATGTATTTGTAATAAATACATGTTGATTATTACATGTATTTGTAATTTATGTTGTTAATTGGTTCATCATTGTTTGTAAAAGTAAGGTGTAGTGTATTTTTTTCTAGTTGCACTATTTACTGGTTTCAAGCAAATACAGTATGTCACATCTGCAAGAGGTCATTTGTGTGTGACTGTTCATTTAGACTGTTTCTTGGGATTCTCTCTGGTATAGCAGTATTTGCTACAGTTTTCCATTTTAGATGCATAAGTTGAAATCGCCGAGCATGAGCATGATAATGATTATGGCAGGGCTTGAGGTTTTTTAAGCAGTATTCTATTTTCATAAGATGGTCTTTAAGCGGCTAAGAATTTGCATTTGGTGATTTATATGCAAGGACAATCACTACGTTTAAAATTTCTATTTTGATTATCAGCACTTCCACCATATTATTTGTGATGTTTAACAGTTGTGCAGATGACTGTCTGATGTACAGGCTGTTCTCACCTTGTAGCCTATTTCCTGTTACATTTGAAAAAATTGTACTCCAGTGTCCACATCTCGCTGTCATAAGTTTTTAGTGTTTCAGTTAGAGTTGGAAATATTGCATTTGCCTCATCTAAGAGGGCGGTTATAAAGTGGACTTTTTGTGTGTTTTGATACCTTGTATGTTGGCAAATAGGAAGGATGGTACATGTAATGTATTTGTGGAGGTACTGGGTATTTTACTTGGTGTTAGTATCTGTGGTTCTGGTAAGTGTGTTTCATTATCTGTTTTGTTTAGCATTTGACAAATTTGATAGTAGAGCTTGGACATTTTTTGCCATTCTTTTCCTTTCTCTTGCTAAAAAAAATCTCCCTGGTATGTATAGGTGTTGCTGTATTTATAATGGCATTCCTTGGATTTTACTCGCTTGATTCCTTTGATATGAAAAGCTGGACAGTCTTTTGAAACATTCCTTCTAGTTTAGTGAATTTTGACAGTTTTGGGTTGAAATATTTACAATTATCAGAGCAACATGTACCTGCATTTAGGATATTTCTGCAATTTCTTGGGTGATTGTATCTGCATGTTCCATTATTTCTTCCTAATAGCCCATATTTACATATACCCACCATGCATAATATTGACAGGTTCCAAGTTCATGCTTTATCATGGTTTATCTTTGCTACACTTTGTGTTGGCTCTTAGCTGACAGGTTTAGGACAGGATCTTAGATTCCCTGTCTGACCTTTCGCATGACCACTTTCACCCAGGTTTGCCTACTATTAAAGGATGGAGCATGGATGGTGTCCCTGGACCTCAAAGATACCTATTAGCATGTCCCTATACATTTGGGTTCATAGACTAGTTAGGCTTTGTTGTGAAGCATCAAGCTTACTTGCTTCATGGTTCTTCCTTTGGCTTTAACCTGGCTCCCAACATGTTTACCAGGCTAGTGAGGGGTCGTTGTGGCCCAGCTGCATTTCTTTGGGGCGTTTTGTGTTCTGGCCTACCTCAATGACTGACTGGTGTGAGCCCCCAGTTAATGTGCTTGTCAGCTGGCCAGGGTTCTGGTTCTTTCCCAGCTTGCCACATGTGTTTTGTATCATGTGTTGTGCCCAGTGGGAGCTCTGCCACAACCTTCGTGCCACTGGTTCAGCATCTGTGAAGAATCCTCCCCCACCTCCCACCAACCCCACCCCACCTCCCACCAACTCCACCCCGTCCCACCTCCCACCAACTCTACCCCGTCCCACCTCCCACCAACTCTACCCCGTCCCACCTCCCACCAACTCTACCCCGTCCCACCTCCCACCAACTCTACCCCGTCCCACCTCCCACCAACTCTACCCCGTCCCACCTCCCACCAACTCTACCCCGTCCCACCTCCCACCAACTCTACCCCGTCCCACCTCCCACCAACTCTACCCCGTCCCACCTCCCACCAACTCTACCCCGTCCCACCTCCCACCAACTCTACCCCGTCCCACCTCCCACCAACTCTACCCCGTCCCACCTCCCACCAACCCCACCCAACTCGCCACACAATTCTTGTGAGTACAATAACTGAACACATTCATTCATATTCAGGTAGACAGGCAGGCAGGACATCATGCTAATAAACCATATTTTGTGAAGTATTTGTTGGTTTACTAACAATTTTATATACTGTACCGTTTTTTTTAATTAAAATGATCTATTTATTGTTTTGTCCAATAGATTACGAATTAATGATTTATGGCGTGAAATAGAGACGGATTGGGTGGAACGTGATTATTTGGCTGAGAAAAGATTAGCTGCCAGAGAGTTTGAAGAAAAAAAGAAAGAACTGAAAGAAAACCTATTGATAGAACTTGAGGAAAAAAAAAAAATTATTGAGCAAGAGAGGTATACTCTTGAGTTAACTGGGGACTCTATGGAGGTTAGTTTTATAATACAAAATAATTACATTTACTTATTCTGATATACATGCAAAATGCTTATACAGTGCCTTTAGAAGCAAGTATAATAATGACATTGTGAAATTCCTCTTTATTATAAACATCTTCTAGATCTATGATTATTAGTGTTAATACTGCTTTTATAATGTTTTACAGTATAAACCAGTCTCAACTCGAAAATTGCGTCGCCGTGGAAATGAACCTGCACCAATTATAGAGAAACGTCGTAAGCCTGTATCAACAACCTTGCAGCTTCTTCTTGATGAAAGAGAGATGGATGATGATTTAAAACTTATTAACAAGAGCAAATTATTACACATGAAAAAAAGTAAGTAGAAGGAAGTCATACTTGCATTTTCAAACAAGATGCTTAATGTATATCTTGATAGAATTTATAAAAAACCACTATTGAATAATTGATTGTAATAAAATGCCAATTTCTGGGTGAGCCCCAATGGATCCCTGAAACTACTCTCTGATAGTGTGCCGTACTACTGGGTCCTGCCAGTTGCAGAGTTCTATGGCCTACCAGGGACCAGCTCCAGAACTGTCCCCTCAGAGGTGCCGGGAGCGGTGCATTTATTAAGCTGTTCATTTATGCTGCCACTGAGGGAGGCACCCAGAAAAGTTGGCAAAACAAAACCAAAACCACTACTTGCTTCAAGCGTGATCACAGCCTCAAGAACCACCTAAAGAAAGCAGCTATAGGAACTCCCCAAACCATGTAAACAATCAAAATTTCTTGAAAATATTGCAAGCTCAATTGCCCCACCACCTATCCTCTACTTGTGGGGAGGAGGGAGGCAGCTCCTCCCTCGGTTCATTGATGATGCAAACACCTTTGATGACTTGGAGGGAGGGTGGGGAGATGTTGGGGCTCACTGGGGCTCACCCAATAGTTGGCGTTCCATTACATTCAATGCATGCTTTCTAGGGAAATCCCTTGTGTTAGAAACAATGGGTTCTTACCAGGGAAGAGGAAATTGCCACAAATAATATGATGAAGAGGAGACTGTCTTAGAAACACAACCCAAAGCCACACTAGGGTGCCAGGGCCCAGGCATATTAACAAGACACCAAACTTCCAGTACCAGGTTTGACCTCCAAAACCCCTGCACCCAAATGTGACAGGATCAACCCACAAAAAAGCCACTGAAGCAGAACCAGTGGCATGAAAGTAGGAGCAAAGACCTGCCACTGGACACAACACATAATGTACCTCCCAAGTGAACCAACCATGCATCAATGACCAAAAGGACCCCTTCAGAAGAGGTCAGTTTTCATTGACTCATTTTGACTCATTTTTCACCAGAAAAGGGGGAGCTGGTTGCAAACAAGCTGCCTATCAGGGCCAAATAAATAAATGAGTCATAAGGGACCAAATGACACTATTCGCCCAAGCCCTGGAAGCCACAACAGAGAACCCCTGGGCAAAGCTGTCGTCTGTGCCCACCATCTGGGATATATTAGCAGATTTCAAGGGAGAGGCTTCAAAGGAAAAAGGGACTGGCTAAAAAGCGGGTACAGAAGCCACAGCGGGACCAGATGGTTAGATTGCTGACCCCTAAGCTGACCAAGCCGGCCCGACCCAGAAACCTTCAGACATTTCGGGACCGGAAGGATCAGAGTAAGGGTGACCCATGCCTGAAGGGAAAGAAAGAGGAGTTTTAAAAGCAGCCAAGGTTGAATTAATCAATGCTTCCAATTCTAGGTCCCTAAACATCAAATGGTGCAGCTCTGACATATTCAACTACACACACAAAACCTAGACTGCTACTGCACAGAAAACCTAAGATGCAGTGTGGTCACTGCCTGATAAGCCCGAACCTCATCAGAAAATGCAGAAAGGAGAGCAACTCGAGGACAGCAACCCTACATGACACAGGGTCAAAGGTGTCACGGATCCAACAGGTAGCATGGCAGCAGGAAGTAATGAATGTTGCCACATGGCACTGATGATGTGTAACTCTCAGACTCAAACAAAGTGAGAATGGGATCTGGGGGAATTTTCATAGGCCACTGAACCCACAGGATTTCAGGGGCCCTGCATGGGAAATATACCCAAAAGGACACCCAGGCCCTGGGACACTACCCTTTATAAAATATTACAATATCAGTATAAGATGTGAGAAAGCCAACACAGCCAGATGCACAAGGCTGAGAAGGCTAACCTCAGCATGCTGAAGTGCAGCATGTGAGAACCAGTGCACCTTGTCAGCTAATGTCACTCCTGACCCGAGGAAAGACGGAAAGTCCAAGACACCTAACAGACCCCGGGCGAAGGCCACCACAAGTGAGGAGGACCTACCTCTAAGGGAGCAACTCCCAAACACTTCAGAGAAGATAACCCTGGCAGCACAAGGATGCACACAAAAAAAGATAATCCTGAGCACATGCACCTCCAAGCACACTAAACTCTAGGCTCATGCTACACCAAAGTGTACAGAGCCTGTCACTAAGGTAAAAAAAAAGTCTGAAAACAAAAACACCAGAGCCAGAGCAGCAGAGGGGCTACCTGGCACACTTTACCATCACAATAGAACTAAGGGTGGAGCAGCCAGCTGACTTGAGGCTGTCTCCCTCCTTCCACCAAAGGAGGGGGGGACGGGGGGCAAAGGCACTTGTGGTAGTTTCATGAAATTTTGATAACATGGTTTGGGGGGTTCTTTAAGCAGTTCTCTAGACTGGGGTCTTCTTTCTTCCTATGACTGCACGAGTGGTAGTGATGAAAGATGCGGCACTCGGTGGCGTATCAATGTTCATAATTTGGCAGAGATTGCAAGTTATTGATGTCTTTTATTTGTGTGAGGATGATGAGGAAAATAAACATACAAGTGGAACTCAGGATGGCAGAGATGAGGAGTTGTGTTAATGGTGGTATCAAAGTGTTGCTGTTTTATGAAAAGTGAGGTTTAGTCAAAATATATGAGTTTGAGAGTCGAAGTATGCTTGGTAGTTGGTCGCAATTCAGATAGGTTAGGATAGATTATAGTACATTTAGTAACTTGGGGTTAATGTGTATAAGGTTAGGTTAGGTTGGGGTAGGTTAGTTGAAGATAGGTTATGTTGTCGTATTTCAAATTTTTACATCTGGGATGTGATTACATTGGTCTTCTTTCATGTGCCAGTAGTACACCATGTTGAATATTTGGGAGAGGTTGGTGGATGTGTTGTGGAAGAATGGGGTTTATGTGGTTTTTCAGTTAGTGCCAGGTTGTTGGGAGGTTTCTTACTCTTGGTGCCGGTGGTTGGGGTTTGTGGCATGGCAGCCTGAGGAGTGACTTTGGTAAGGTGTGCTAAGGAGTCATTCAGGTGTTTTTCCATCATCAGTTCAATGATGTGTATCCAGCAATGATAGCTGTGTTAGGATGGATGTCATTGTTTGCAGATGTCGATGGGGTGTGTGTTCGGTCAGCCTCAGGGATGGGTTGGATTGCTTGTGTAAAGAAGTTAGTTTTGTTTGAAGCCAGCAGTGGTTTGTTTTGTTTTGCCAACTTTCTGGGTACCTTTCTCGGTAATGGCATAAATGAATATCTTAAATAAATAAATGCCATCACTCCCTTTGCCTCTGAGGGGGCCGTGTTCTAGTGCCAGTGCCTGGTAAGCCATAGAACTCCGTGACTGATTGGACCCAGAAACATAGCACACTATAAGAGTTAGTAGCTATAGGGAGCCACAAAGGGCTTCCCAAGAGATGCATTTGTTTCTACTTGAGTAATGTTAACCTTGCTACTGGGAATAAATATTGTAAAATACTTTTATTAAAAATTGTGCTTATTTGCTGTTGCTGCATGTAGTGACCTTGCATTTGCTATTTATACGTTGTGCTTCTCAGTCATGACTCTTTAATGAGCTGAAATTATTATTGCGCTTGGCTGGGAATTTAGATGACTGGGCTCAGATCTGCTAGTTTGAGAGAGCATCAGTTATATTAGTAAATATATTTTGACTTTATCTCGGTGATGAATATGCAGTTTAAGTGTAAACTTGATTTTAGAGATCATAAAATCTGGTAAAATTTTCTACTTTTTTTTTAGGGCTTGAAAGTATTTTTCTACAAAAATAAAAAGCTATAACTTTTTTTTAGACTTAAATACTATATAGTACTGTACTGTACTTAAAGTGAGGATTCATACAAAGAGGATGATAAGGAAATTAGAGAAATCCTAAAAGATCAGTATAAGACTGTTTAACACCCCTGGTAAACATGAATGTTGATCCATACAGCTTCTTTATGAATGAAACCAAAACCCATGACAGTATAGCTAATATCAATACGAATGTTGAAGAGTTTGAAAGAGAAATTTACAACATGTACTCAACCCCATGTCCAGACTCATGGGACTCGATATTTATAAAAGAAATATAAAGGGCCAGTAGCATGAGTGCTCAATATAGTGTGGAGAAAAAGTTTGGATACATGGGAGATACTAGAAGCATTTAAATCAGCAGATATAGCACCCCTACACAAGGTAGGGAGCGAAGTACTGGCTCTATCAATTTTCATGCTCAGAGATGAGCATGAAAATTGATGTAGATGACACTTAAAACTACAGACTGATATTAATAAAGTTTTCGATTGGGCAGCAAGAAATAACATGATGTTTTAGCAGTAATAAATTTCAACTGCTTAGATATGGAAAAAATTAAGACCTTAACCAAATACAGGTTACAAGACACAATCAAATGTACTCATAGCAGGTAGCCATCGTGTAAAGGATCATGGAATAATGTCTGATGACCTAACAACATTTAGGGAACTTAATCAAGCAAATATACTGTCAACTAGAAAAATGATAGTTTGGATTATGAGTATTCAAATCCATGGATCCCACTACAATGCTCATACTATTACGGCACACAGACACGATAAAGCACCTAAATTAATGGGACCGACTCAAAACTTTCAAAATGTACGCCCTAGAAAGGGGAGGCGGAGAGAGATATCACATAATATATTCGTGGACAATACTGAAAGGCCAGGTCCCAGATTTACACAGTAAAATAACAACATACTGGAGGATATCGACATAAATGTAAAATAACATACTTCCTATATATTAGGAACTGCAGAATAGAACCAGTGAAAAGTAAAGGTGTCATAGGCACAATCACCGTATGAACATCAGAGGTCCACTGTTCAATATCCTCCCAGCAAGTACAGTATAAGAAATATTGCTAGAACAAAAATGGAGGCCTTCCAGAGAAAACTGGACAGTTTTTTGCAAGAAGTTCCAGACCAACCAGGCTCTAGTGATTGTGGGCACATCAGCCGCTCCAAGTAACAGATTGTTGGACCAAGCTGTCACAAGTCAAGCCTGGCCCCCA